GTGGAAGACTTATTGTGAGATCGGGAAAACAATCAAAATGGATAGGTCCGTTATAAAGACTAGATTCGATCATTCCGAGTATACTATCGTTGAAATCAGTAAATTTAGCGTCGCGTAGACATAAAAGGATAGAAGTGTTGAGACATTTTCGTGTTAATGGTTTAACTGCGATTTGAACTAAACCAATATGAAGATAGTTATGACCATTTTTGCGATGCGCTTTGATTTGTTCTGGAGAAAATAATTGACAAGTCTCATGTTCTTTGCTAAGAGCATAAGCCTTCTCAACTGTTTTGACGTGATGTTCTGATTTAAAAGAAGTCAAAGACCATTTTTTCTTGTAAATATTTTGGGTTGAAACTTTTGGAAGGTTCCAGTCAGAAAAATCAATACTTTCATCTGTTTGAAAATCAAGTTTTTGTTCCTCATTGACAATGTCAGGTATAGTTCTTAAGTTGGATCTAGAGCTAGTGCTGGCTATTGAATTAGATCTAAATAATCTACTCATGATGCACACAAAACAAATATGCTATATGCAAGACTTAAAAGATTCACCTTCCTCGTATGTCTAGACTCTTCCCCGCTCATGCCTCTCCTGGGACTTAATGTTTGGACCACGCCTTACTGTTTGGCTGGAAGAAAGAAGAACTGAGGACCGACGATTAAGAAATGCAGATAGAATATAAGAATGTATGAATCAGAAATAGATCAGATAGATGCTAATGCAATTACCAAACACTTGGCTCTGATACCAAATGGGGCGGAACTAGTGGTAGGAGGCATAGCCTTCCATATAATTAAGAGTGCGGAAGTAAAGCATATAAAAACAAAGAAACATATCAATATATTGAACTAAAACCAAATGGGGCGGAACTAGTGGTAGGAGGCATAGCCTGAAGGAAAATTTGTGAAAAACATGTTCATTTAAGCAACATCAATAGCATGCAATTAACAATTAAAGGCGGAATCATGCTTGTATGCACTTAAAACAAAACATTTACCCATGAAATTCAAAGCCTAGTAGATAGGTGAATCAAGACTCAACTCAAAACAAAGTGAGTTGAGAAATCAATACCTTTGTAGATTCCTCTTTGCATAAGCAAAGGCTAATCACCCAAAGAGAGGGCCTTCATTCCTTGCATCTTAGATCCATGGATTTGGATGGATGAAAAGGTTTCTCCAAGTTCCCAAAATTGAGAACCTCTAAGTCTCCACACCAAGGTATATTGTAGAAGAAATGAGTGACCTAGAGGAAGTAAGATTGCTAGCTATTCCCCTCTAGATTGGCCAAAATTTTAGAGAGAAAGGAGAGCTTGTGTTCTCATCCTTTCCCCCAAAAATAACCCTTAGTAAATTTTAGGCTATAAAGTCCTTTATATAGTCCCTTCAAATAAGTGACCTAATGGACCAAAAGCCCTATTCTTTTACACATGGCTAGCCTATAGGTTTATTGGGCTTTCAAGCCCTTTGTTTTATTCAAGTTGTCATACAACTTGAGTTAATGGGCTTGACATTCAAATCTCATTGGGCCTTGCGGCCCAAAACTAACCCGAGGTCTTTAACGAACTTATTCGTTTGATTAATTAACATATTAATTAATCCTAGCCTTAGATAAATAATTAAACCATTTAATTATTCTTACTCATCTCCGTTGTTTCTTCAAACTCTACCTTACACGGTGTACGACCCATTAGGTTCCTTTTAGCGAGGCAGTGGGCGATTCAAACTCTTTCAAATCGATTGTGAATTGAAACTTACTTTCAATTCTCCCGTTAGTGATAATACACTTTTAGGGCTTCCACAAACCATGAGTGACACCTAGCAGTATATCATGGTTACCCAAGCTAATCAGAAGAGGTGGAGAACCTATTCAGTTTAGGATTACAAATGCAATACGGTCTTTCTCTAATACAATACTCTTGACCACATTGTTTGGTTTGATAGTTTATTCATGTCTACTATCCAATGTGAATCTTGTACTTATATGATTACCTTGAATGTGATCTGGAACGCATTCCAACATCTCATTCATACTCTGGCCAGAGATTCTAAATCATATCATAGAGTATTCTCCCTCAAACAGTTTGAAGGTTAGAGATCCCTTGTTGCGCATTCACTTGCCTCCATGGCTAAGTGGCTTAACCCCAACGATGCCGTGGACACCCTGATAGAGTGACTTTGACATAATCAAAGATTAAGGACCTAACCACGAGACAACTGTGATGCCTCAGGTCAAAAGACTAATTTGCATTATCCCAACCATGAGTTCTCATGTGACATGAATATGAGAACTCTTCGTTGATCGTGTTCAGTGAACTCATTCTCTATTGAGCACCTACGTACTTGTCTTGATGTCACACACACCAATGACTCGAGACTAGTCACTCTCCCTGAGAGAAGATATAGCACGTACTGATCTTAACGGACTGTCAATGCCCAATTGACAATCCTATGATCAGGAACGTTTAGGATGTGTCAACGAAAGAATGGTCTCATGAATCTAACTTCTTTAGATCGCATTCTTCCAATCACATATTCCTTGGACTTATCGTTTAAGCATATAACATTTATATTAGACGGCTCAAACAATAATCTTTGCCCTTTACATTTAAACTACATTAGTTTGAAATGAACTACATTAGTTTGAAATGTCCGTAAAGTATCATCATATGATTGGCTTTAGGGCACATTTCCAACATAGCCTTCCATATAATTAAGAGTGCGGAAGTAAAGCATATAAAAACAAAGAAACATATCAATATATTGAATTAAAAAGAACAGCAGGAGGCGTAGCCTTCCATATAATTCAGAGTGCGGAAGTAAAGCATATAAAGAAAATAATGAATTAAATGTAATGATGCAAATATATTTTTGAAAATAAGTTTTATTGAAAACTTACTGCAATGCAGATTACAAACAGGTATTGCCTAATGGCAAATGAAATAAGTAAACAAGGTGGAGCTCGCAGGCATCCTGAATAATATGTATTACAAGTGTTTGGAAATATTCTTTGCTTTTTTGAATGCGCAGAGAGTGTTTAAAAAACTATATTCTTCTGTTTAAAAAACTTTATCCGTCCTCTGAAGATGAGTCCTCCTTATATAGAGCGAGGAGACTGAATGAGGCTTGCCAAATGGATCTGGAAATCCCGCTGTCTTCTGAAGAAGGCTGACAAAGCTGTATAATCACGTTGTTTCTTCTTCAAAAGTTGAATGAATAGTGAATATGCTTTGATTCTTTTACAAAAGTTAAATGAATAGTGAAGATGCTTTGATTCTTTTACAAAAGCTGGATGAACAGTGACCTTTTTGTTTTTCACTATTGGAGAATAATGCCTTGTCTTTTACGGAATAGATGATAGCAGCTACTACTGATGATGTTGTTTGGCTGGCACAATCACATGGGCAAATACTGTAGGCTAATAATCAAATGGGTCATGGGCATCTTGAAGATCTGCTTGATCTGCCCATTTGGAGGGAAGTTGAGATGACGCATCAGATGCGTCAGAGTTCGAATCTGAACCTTTTCTTTTTTGTAGCATTGCTGCTTCAGCCATGAGTAGTGAAAAAATAGTAACTCTGTTGTCGAAACGACTTATGTCAAAACTGGGCTGGAAATTGTTTGTGAGTACATGACGAAGGTCATCTGGAATGATAGAAGAGCTTGGGCCATGGAAAGCCCACCAATCTGGAAACCATGCAGGAAACCGTAATCTGAAATTTTTATCAAAGGTTATGAACCATGAATGACTAAAGTCTTCTGTCTGGTGGAGAAAAATGTTGGTCCATGCTTGGATATAATCATAGTAATTGTAATGATTGTTTGGGATGAGGACATGCTGAGTATGAAGGGGTTTTGTGTGATAAAGGGGAATTCCCCATTCAAGTTCGGTAAGGAATTTTTCAATATGGAGTGAATGATACAATATTTTGTTTTGATGAGTGGTACTGTAAATTGGCTTAATAGCAATGCTTTCTGTTTCTGAAAGGATAGCCTGGTAATATTTTAGGCTTTTATAGGATTCAGTTGGTAAGAAATGAAAATTTGGTGGAAGGAGTAATTTGGCAATGCGCTCTGGGGGTTGGTTTTTGTCAATGTGAAGAGGGATGCTAAAAAGCTTTTCTGAATTGGGATTTTGGACATATGGAGATGTTTTAGCATAGCTAGGTGTTTTAGGCTGTGAAGGAGCTGGAGAACGAACTGAAGAGTAGGGATCATAAGGGGTGGCTAAGGCCGTTTGGTAGTTCGGTCGGATATTTCCTACTGTTGATCCTAAGGGAGTAAATCTGTTTGTAATGGCGAGGGCTGATGAAGAGTCGGGAATAGACTCTTGTTTTACTGGTGCTGGGGTTTGGGTGAGAGTGGCTGGAAGCCTTCTTTGATTAGGATTGGAACCCATTCTTCCCCTGCGAAAATTCCCTGGTCAGAAAATCTGGTATGCAATTCTGGCTGCCTTTAATGTATTCAATATCAAAATCAAAAAATCTTAATATGGCTTGCCAGCGTGCAAAAATTTGTTTTGATGCAATATTTTGAACATCCTTTTGTAAAACATGTTTTGCAGATTTGCAATCAACACGAACTAAAAATTTTTGATTTAATAAATCATCTTGGAATTTGCTAATGCATAATACAATTGATAAAATCTCTTTTTTAATAGTACTATAGTTACTTTGATCCGGATTCCAAATTCCTGAATGGAAACGAACAATTTGTTCAGGAGATTCGGAAGAAGTTTTTTGTTTGAGGATGGTTTTTCATAAAATTTATTTGTTTGAAAAGGTTTGTTGGAAGATCTTTTGTTTTTATAAAATCTGGATTGATATTTAGAAAACCTGCTTGTTTGTTGGGCTTTTTTCTTTTTACTTGAAGGAGCTATTGGAGGTAAACCATATTGTTCACAAAACAATATTGTTCAGTAGTCGTGAAGAATTATATATATATATATATATATATATATCACCTAGTTGCTGGAATCCTTCGTCTTTCTTGCGCAAGTTGCTTTGAAATGATGATGTAAAAGTTTATCTGCACGAGCTTTGTTACAAGTAGATGGGACCAAACCCTATAAATTTGGAACATATAATTATTTAAGCTTATGGGTGTGTTTAATTTATGACCATGCATGATTAATTATTGTGGAAAATAAATTTTGAGTAAATTATTTGAGCTTGTGCTTATGTGTGTACGCACTCACAGATATATCGGTCACAGATTGACAGAGAGAAAATGGCCATGACCAATGTCCAAGAAATGTCTATGAATGGTGAGCAGCCACCTGCTGAATATATTGTTAAAGAATGTAGGTTTGGATCCATGGATTCTTCTCCACCATTGGCTGATGAAATCCCCATCATTGATATCAGTCTCTTCTCCCCATCATCTCCTCAATATTCTGAACAAGCAGAAAATCATGAGCTACAGAAACTCAGATCAGCACTCAGCTCGGCAGGATGCTTCCAGGTTTCTATTTTCTTTTTCTTGGTACTATTATACTATATGTTAAAATATATTTTATTGTCTTTGCATTCTCCATGTTCGGACTAGACTACATCTTATCCAATCTAATCCAATCCAATCCAAAAAAGAACATAATTTGATCCGATCTGATAATCTGATGTTTTTTCGTTGATGAAATCCGACGGATTATGGATAAACAAGTTCATATCTGATTAACTAAACTAATGGAATACAATATATATATTCATGATGGATTAATGAATTCAGGCAATAGGCCATGGGATTTCGGATTCACTTCTTGACAAGGTACGTGAAGCAGCAAAACAATTCTTTGCACTTCCAGTAGAAGAGAAGGAAAAATACCCCCGCGCAGTTCATGGCGGCGCCGAAGGATATCGGAACGATGTCGTAGTATCGGAAAAGCAAGTTCTTGACTGGTCCTATCGTCTCACTCTCAGGTTCTTCCCAGGAAACCAAAGAAGGCTTCATCTTTGGCCTCAAAATCCAAATGATTTTGGGTACGTCCGTACACTTTAGGGTTTGCATTACTATTGCCTGCCTTGAGGATTATATAGCTAGTCAACTATGGACACATCTTGCAGAGATTTTTCAGTATGTCACAAATACAGCTTGGCACATTAAGTGTAATTATACAATTAGTTTTAAATTTGAACAAATATTTTAAACCAATTATTTTATTGCACCTTGTGTAGCAAGCTATGTTCCCGGCATCTTAAAAAATTTCTCCACATCTTGATAATTGACAGAAAATCTGTAAATTAACGTTCAAATAAGAGAATATTATAATTTGTAGAAAGATGCTAAAGGGATATGGTATTCGTTGAAGCAAGTTGCAACTGTCACTTTGATATAATTGGACAAAATCCATAGATTAATATATAGCACATCTATGAATGTGTGTATAATTTGCAAAGAGATGCTACATGAATATGCAACGAAGGTAAAGTTGATGATAGGTATTGTGTTCAAGGCAATGGCAAAGTCGTTGAATTTGGAAGATAACAGCTTTGCAAAGCAGCTGTTTGGAGACCAATCTCTGATGCAAGCAAGGTTCAACTTCTATCCTCCGTGCTCGAGATCTGACCTCGTCCTCGGCGTCAAGCCTCACATGGATAGGTCCGGCGTGACATGTCTCTTGCAAGACAAGGATGTGGAAGGCCTTCAAGTATTGATAGATGAAAAATGGGTTAGAGTCCCCATTCTTCCTCATGCTATCGTTCTTAATCTCGGTGATCAGATGCAGATCATGAGTAATGGGATTTACAAGAGCGCCATGCACAGAGTGGTGACAAATGCAGAGAGGATGAGGTTATCTGTTGTTTTGTTCAATGAACCCGATCCTGAAACCGAGATTGGTCCGGTCGAGGACTTGATCGACGAGACAAGGCCGAGGTTGTACAAGAGTGTCATGAATTATGCTTCTATCAACTCCGAAAGCTATTATAGAGGGGAAATTGCACTCGAAACAGTCAGAATCTAATTTATTCTACTCACTAGCTATCTTTTCCTGTTTTAAGTAACCTAATATATTTTGTACTATATAGTATATTCTACTTAGTAGATGTAAGTGGTCTAATATCTTAGTGTATAGAATGTTGAGTTTATATCCATGCGTCTCAAGTTTGAAACTCCACATCTCCAAAGTTATTGTAATACTTTCAAATCTCCCCTTCCTTCCCTTAATGATATTAAAATTAAAAAATATATATATATTCTACCTAGTGGATTGGTTATGAGGAACATTATTAATTTACTTTATTAGTTATCTTGTTTTTGTAGTAGTTCTATCCGTTACTCTATCAATTTACCAATTTACTGATGATATGATGTGAAAATATGTAGTAATTATCTTGTTTATGATGATAGGACTTCGATTCGATAGATTCCTGCGTGTGGAAATTTGTTTAGATTTTTTGTCAATCGAAGGAGAAAATTTTGAGAAAGAAAATTGTCGCTCTGGCCCGTCTTTTAGACATCTTTGGGAGGCAGGGAGTGGACAACATACACGCTTCCCTTTGCACTTCCAGTGGAAGAAAAGTAGAAATACTCCCGAACAATTGACGGTGTCTTCGAGGGATCCGGTAATGATGTCATAATCTCCGACAAACAATTTCTTGACTGTTCCTACCGTCTCATCCTCAAGGTCTTTCCACAAGATCAAAGGAAGCTTCATCTTTGGCCACAAATTCCAAATGATTTTGGGTCTGTACCTACTTTTTGGGTAGCTTAATTAAATACTATTCTCTTTTCCGAACGTTAATGTCTTGTCTTTCGTCTTGATGCTAATTCCGGTCAGCCGGCTCCCTTGATCGGGAGTCTATTTTCTTCACCATCATTGAAACCGTCATTGATTGATGAGAATAGCTTCCAGTTAAGTGATTTTCTTTTCTTTTTAGGCATATTTGTCGATTCTTCCCTTTTCTGAACTTGTATGGAGTTGTTAATTTTCCTCATGAACTTTAATTTTAGTTTATTACCCTCTTGAACTTTTATAATTACCCAGTCTCCCCCTTGAACTTTAATTTTAGCCGATTACCCCCCTTGAACTTTTATAAATAGCAAATTTCCCTCGTGGCTTTAGATTTTTTAAAAAATGTCATCCATCTTGATCATGGAAATAACACACGTCAACTGTATGAAGGCAAATTAAGGGATGGAAATTTGGATGGATGAAAAGTTGAATGAAATTTTTTAAAATCTAAAGCCAAGGAGATAATTGGCTATTTATAAAAGTTCTGGGGGGTAATCGCCTAAAAGTAAAGTTCAATAGGGAAATAGGTAGTTCTATACAAGTTTAGGGGGCAAATGAACAAATACCACTTCTTTTTATGATAAAAATCATACCATTGAAGATATATAAATATAAATTGATACATTTTAATAGAATTGATAATAATATCAATGTACCAATCAACTCTGTTTACAAAGTCAAATGTACAAAAATTAAAAATAAACGTACCAAAATTGAAAACCAATGTACCACTATTGGAAATAAATGAACCGATCAAATAAACGTATCGAAATTGGAAATCGATAATAGTCTATGCATACTATGTTGCTATCAATATTGGAAATAAACATACCGATCAAATAGGCGTACCAAAATCAGAAATTAACAATGGTCTATACATAATACGTTACACCTAATAATGGTAGTGGGTGGTTCTTGTTTGGAGAAAAAAGGGGTGGCAGTGGACAATACATGTGTTTTTTGTAGTTCCTCTCCGGAGTCGGCACTACAAATGTTATGTTCTTGTCCATTTGCACGTGCTGTTTATTCCTCTTCCAACATGAATCTCGGCTCTAGACCAGCAGCACATACCGCCTTTTGTGACTGGTTTTCCTAGTGTGCAGCTTCCCTCCTCCCAGGTCAGTTTAGCCTCTATATGATGCTTGTTCACTCTATTTGGAGGGTGAGAAACTCTCTTTTTATGGGAAAGCAAACATAAAAACCCTGCCGTGGTGAGTTTTATGACTAGCCATCATCTGAACGAATTCCAGAAAGCCAAACCTGGTTCTCAAACTAAACCTCTACATTTATCCAGCTCGATGGTCCCCTCCGCCCCCGAGATGGATCAAAATCAATGTTGATGGTTCTTTCCGTGCTGCCACGGATACTGGGGGTGTCGGTGTGGTTTTTCGTGACGAAGCCGGTAACCATGCTGGAGGTTTCGCCCGTAAAATATCACACGTGACAAACCCCAAGATGATTGAGATTTTAGCTACTCGGGATGGTTTTTGTTGGGCATTAAATCAGCATTGGCAGCAGATATTATTGGAGAGTGATGCCTTACAAATAGTTCAAGCAACTGGAAGTCTGAAGGAGGGGATCCTCGGCCTCTGATTTGTTGATTGAGGACATTAAAGTATGAGGGGCTTTGTTTCCTCTCGAGTATATCATATCCGTAGATCTGTCAATGTCGCGGCACATCGTATGGTCAAGTTAGCTTTAATTTTTAATTTCAATTTTTGAGGTTCGAACATTCAAATTTATTGTCGGATATCCTCCTTAAAAATTGTATGTCTTCTTTCTAGTTATAAATAAAATCACCATTGTTTCTTTTTCAAAAAAAATAAAAATAATGGCAGTGAGTCAACAAGAAAATGTACCCAATGTAAAAGAAGAGAAAAAGTTAAATTTATTGACCATAAAAATGAGTGTTATTTAAAATTCGTGGTGTAAATTAAAAAAATAATATTTGCTTTTGGAGGAATAAAAAGACGGAATAAGGAAACAAACAGAGATAATTTTGAATTAAAAAGGAGATAATGCTGTTGACTAAATTAATTAACTAATATCCCGGAAAAGGAAACAAAAATCCTATATACTAAAACCCAGTTTTCGCCCCCGGTTTTTGGTTTCTTTGCCTTAGCTCTTTTCTCTTTCCTGCAGTGAAAAGTCGATTTTGCCCATTTGATCCACGCGTCCGTCATCCTTGATATGTCCCCTTTGTTCGCAAGTTTTCTTTTCGGTTTAACCCTCTGCTTCTGCTGCTCTCTCCTTCTTGCTGTCATCTTTGCCTTGTTCTCGCTGCTTCTGTACGATTGTTTGTTGTTCTTAAATATCCTGATTTGAGGAGCGTTTCCCGTATTTTTAGACCTAGGGTTGTGGGTGGTTTCTCCTACACCATAAAATTGGTTTCCGAGATATGTAGACTTGCCATCGGGGGTCGAACATTTCGGGATTCTTGCGTTTGTTTCCGTTTGGGATTGACGAATTTTGGCCGGATCCGTTTCCTGTTTTCTTCTCTGCTTGAGAGGCGGCTGCCTTTCGGTCGTTGAGCGTCGGCTGTCTTTAGATCGTTGGGAAATAAATTTAATACAACCGAGGTATGTTTTATAAGTGCCGTCTTTCAGTTTTTGTTATGTATTTTTGTTGAATTGGATGAAGCTCTAATATTTTGTTTTGGATTAGTTGTGGTCCTCTGTTAGGATTTTCTTGGCTAAGAGGGTATTTTACGTTTTCGTTGCTCGGTAGGTCGATCACAGATTTGCGAACAGCTCCGGTGGTCCTGTTATTTTTTTGGTATGTTTTTTCTCCTTTGGTTTTTTCCCGCTTTGAGCGATCTTTCATGAATGTTGAATTAAAATGTGTTTATTGTTTTTCAGGAGAGATTAGAAAAGTGATTCGAATTTGGGAAACTTTAATGTTGGTTAAAATTTGTTTATAATTTTTGGGAAGGAATGAGAGGACCTGCTGAAGAATGTGTTGTGATTAGTTTTTATTCATATTTTTAACAAATTGGGCATGAATAATGAATTGGCAGGTTAACTGTGTGTGTTTATTATTTGAATCGGTACTGTTTGTCTTTCTATGGTTCTAAAAATTTTGTACAGGTTGTTTGGCCATTATTTGTGCCTCTTGATTCTGTTGTGTTTGCCTAGGCTTCAACATAAAATATGTTTGGTTGGGAAAGTATTGGTGAGATAAAAGATTATCAACAGATTATCCAGGTTGTTTCTTCTAGTAAAACCTATAACTAAAAGGACAAATTTGAAAATAAAATATGGCATTTTGGTTTTAAAAAACAAAAGTTCCATATAAATAAAATAAAAACAAATATGGTGACATGACTTTTAGTCAAAGCGGCTTGATTAAAGTTTGAAAAGGAACAAATGTTTAATAAAAAGAAGGTAAAAGATGAGTGAGGGATTTTACTTATCTGGTACCCACCAACAAGCAGTTCACAAATAACGAGTTCGATACTAAATTTTACTTTTTTTGTCTCTTAATTTTTAAGTATGGTGAATTTGGTTCGTATGGTAGGTAAACTAGTTTTTGGTGGGTGATGCGGGTTAACTTAACTTTTTAATTACTATATGAATTTTTTAGGTTTACATACAACTACATTGATATTAATAAAAGGTGTTTTAGATGCACGTGTTTCCAAATTGGAATGAGTTCGGCAGCAGATTACGAAATCTTGATGATCTTCTCTATCTAATGAATAGGAAGTCTGCTTTGAAATCGTCCGTCTTGCACCCCCCATGGCGGCGCCGCCACGAGTATATGCTTCAACAGAAATCACCCTTCCATTTGTATTGCTTTACAACTCATAATATATTGCTTTACAACCTATAATCAGATTTATTTATTATTTTTTTTTTTGGTTTTGTTAATGCAAAAAAGATTTCAGTTAATACAATGATATGACTTATATATCATATCTTGATTGGCTTCTTTGCTTGCTTTTCTCGATCAAGCATTCATGTGCTTAGCAAAAAGGTAATAGCATTTGGGGGTGACAGTAATGAAATTTTCCGGGTAAGCCGTCACAGCTCTTGCTTACTGTCGGTATGTGATAGGGTCTGGTCAACTGCCCGGCCACCGCTTTACTTGTCAACATACTTGAATTTGGAAGAAGCCATATTTAAATATGGAGGCATGTCTGCTGTTTTCTGCGAATATGCGGAGATATTGATTATTTATATTATCATGAGCTTTCCGGTGGAAAATGTGATAAATAAAATATGCTAATGAAAGGGCTTAGTTGCTGGAATCCTTCGTCTTTCTCGCGCAAGTTTCCTTAAAATAACGACGTAAAAGTTGATCTGCACGTGCTTTGTTATGAGTAGAGGGGACCAAACCATATAAATTTGGACAGATAATTATTTAAGCTTATGGGTGCGTTTAATTTATGACCAAGCATGATTACCGTGGAAAATAAATTTTGAGTAAATTATTTGAGCTTGTGTGTATTTGTGTACACACACACACACACACACACACAAACACACACACACATATATATATATATATATATTCCCCAGCAGTGGATTAATATCGGTCACAGATTGACAGAGAGAAAATGGCCATGACCAATGTCCAAGAAATGTCTATGAATGGTGAGCAGCCACCTGCTGAATATATTGTTAAAGAAAGTAGGTTTGGATCCATAGATTCTTCTCCACCATTGGCTGATGAAATCCCCATCATTGATATCAGTCTCTTCTCTCCATCATCTCCTCAATATTCTGAACAAGCAGAAAATCATGAGCTACAGAAACTCAGATCAGCACTCAGCTCGGCAGGATGCTTCCAGGTTTCCATTTTCTTTTTCTTGGTACTATTATACTATATGTTAAAGTATATTTTGTTGTCCTTGTATTCTCCATGTTACCATGTTAGGCATGTAAACGAATCGGACTAGAATACATCTTATCCAATCTAATCCAATCGAATCCAAAGAAGAACATAATTTGATTCGATCTGTTAATCTGATGTTTTTTCTTTGATGAAATTCGACGGATTATGGATAAACAAGTTAATATCTGATTAACTGAACTAATGGAATTCAATATTTATATTCATGATGGATTAATGAATTCAGGCAATAGGCCATGGGATTTCGGATTCACTTCTTGACAAGGTACGTGAAGCAGCAAAACAATTCTTTGCACTTCCAGTAGAAGAGAAGGAAAAATACTCCCGCGCGGTTCATGGTGGAGCCGAAGGATATGGGAACGATGTCGTAGTATCGGAAAAGCAAGTTCTTGACTGGTCCTATCGTCTCACTCTCAGGGTCTTCCCAGAAAACCAAAGAAGGCTTCATCTTTGGCCTCAAAATCCAAATGATTTTGGGTACGTCCGTACACTTTAAGGTTTGCATTACTATTGCCTGCCTTGAGGATTATATAGCTAGTCTCCCATATACAGCTCGATTCATCAAGTGTAATTATACAGTTAATTGGAAATTTGAAAATATTTAAACTAATTATGTTATTACACTTTGTGTAGCGGGCTATTTTCCCAACACCCTAAAAAATTTCTCCATATCTTTATAATTGATGAAAAATTCGTAAATTAACGTTCAAATAAAAGAATATTATAATTTGTAGAAAGATGCTAAAGGGATATGGTATTCGTTGAAGCAAGTTGCGAGTGTCACTTTGATATAATTTGACAAAATCTACAAATTAATATATAACATATCTAAGAATGTGTATATAATTTGCAGAGAGATGTTACATGAATATGCAACGAAGGTAAAGTTGATGATGGGTATTGTGTTCAAGGCAATGGCAAAGTCGTTGAATTTGGAAGATAACAGCTTTGCAAAGCAGCTGTTTGGAGACCAATCCCTGATGCAAGCAAGGTTCAACTTCTATCCTCCGTGCTCGAGATCTGAACTCGTCCTCGGTGTCAAGCCTCACACGGATAGGTCCGGCGTGACATGTCTCTTACAAGACAAGGATGTGGAAGGCCTTCAAGTTTTGATAGATGAAAAATGGGTTAGAGTCCCCATTGTTCCTCATGCTATCGTTCTTAATCTTGGTGATCAGATGCAGATCATGAGTAATGGTATTTACAAGAGCCCCATGCACAGGGTGGTGACAAATGGAGAGATTATGAGGCTATCAGTTGCTTTGTTCAATGAACCCGATCCTGAAACCGAGATTGGTCCGGTCGAGGACTTGATCGACGAGACAAGTGCGAGGTTGTACAAAAATGTCAAGAATTATGGTCGTATTAACTACGAATGCTATCAAAGAGGGGAAATTGCACTCGAAACAGTCAGATTCTAATATTTCTGCACACTAGCTATCTTAATTTTCCTGTTTTACGTGAATCTAATATGCTTATCTTTCGAAACAACAATTATTCCATGGACAAGGGATATTATCTGTTTTTTAAATCATGATATGGTGTTTACAATTATCCTACGTGAACCCTGTGAATTGGGTTAATTGTATTTTTTTAGTAGTTCTATCCGTTTATATGATGTGAAAATACGTGGCAATATCTTGTTTATGACAATAAGACTTCGATTCGATAGATTCTTGTGTGTGAAAAATTGTTTAAATTTTTCATTAATCAACGTAGAAAAGTTTGAGAAAGAAAAAAAAAATTAATCAAAAAAAACTTTGACTAATTCTTTTTAGATAATGTTAGGTAGACTATCTATTTAAACTATTTTATTTTGTAAATGGTATGATTATTGGATTATTTCTTTTTAATAGAAAGGGCATTTGGGATCTGCAAAAGGTGCAGTTGCACAAGGTAGGGGCTCGAATTTCTGAAGGCCCCAATTTTTTTTATCCTTCTATACATTACATATGAGTATAAATTTTCTAAAAAAAATGTTTTAACTGAAAAACAAAAAATCATCATCATATGATTTTAGCTATAGTACAATTGATTAAGTGGAGCATATACTTAATATATTAACTTTCTACATTTCTTTAGCAATAAAAACACTTGCGTTATTTTCTTCCACTTTCCTTTAACAATAAAAAAAAATTAACTTGTAATTACTTTCTTCCACAAACACAAGCGTATTTCCGTATCTCTCTTCCAGCCGTGCTCCACTTTTTCATGTATGAACCCTAAATCATGATGATTTCATGCAATTAGAATTATTCAGCAAGTAAGAGTAAGATGTTGATTTCAATCAAGTTTGAATATTGATTGTTGGATTCTGTATGAATGTATTTAAAAAAAAATCTTAAATAAGGAAGCCCTTTTCATTAAATTTGCACAGGTCATCCGAATGTCAGAGACGGTATACTTAAGTATTGATTAACATGTTTATTTTTTATTGATGACACATCACCTAGTTTGCAAATTTGGTCTAAAAAGTTGCTCTACCTTGCATTACTCATTATTTTTTTTTCTTTCTTGCGACAAAAACGATGGATGAATGATGAGATGATATAAATTAATTACCATGTCTCTCCCAAGGAAAATGCAATGAATTAAATATTCAAGGAAAGGGCCAATTAAGTTGCTATAGTTCTTGTGTATCTTGTGCAAGTAACCCAGAAAACAAAGAAGTAAAATTGCCACTAATGCGCTTTATTATGAGTAGAAGGGACCAAATTAATCAAATTAAATATATGGCACGGGTCGATTGCTACAATGATTACTGCTTTTTTCTTTAATCTATTATGCTCGGTTCAAATTCATTTTTCTGCCTAATGTAGCTTAGAGTAAAATATTGCATGAAAAAAAAAAAAAAAAAATTCAGCATGGCCCCTAATAAAACACAGGCCGGCATTCATCGACTTAAATATTGTAGGTCTCAGTACTGCATCAAACATTGAGTCATCAATCAGTCGAAAATACGATAGGGTTTGACTAGCCATCATCTGAACGAATTCCAGAAAGCCAAACTTGCTTCTCAACCTAAACCTCTACATTATCTGGCTCGATGGTCCCCTCATTCCCCAAGATGGATCAAAATTAATGTTGGTGGTTCTTTCTGTGCTGCCACGGATGCTGGGGTGTCGGTGTGGTTTTTCGTAATAAAGCCGGTAGCTATACTAGAGGTTTCGATCGTAAAATATCACACGTGACAAACCCCAAGATGATTGAGCTTTTAGCTGCTCGGGATGGTGTATGCTGGGCATTAAATCGGCATTGGCAGCAGGTATTATTGGAGAGTGATGCTTTACAAATAGTTCAAGCAATTGGAAGTCTGAAGGAGGAGATCCTCGGACTCTGATTTGTTGATTGAGGACATTAAAGTAAGGATGGGCTTTGTTTCCATCTCGAGTATATCATATCCGTAGATGCGTCAATGTCACAGCGTATGATCAAGTTAGCTTTAATTTCCAATTTTAATTTTTGTTGGTTTGAGGAATCTCCAGATTTATTGGCGGATATCCTCCTTAAAGATTGTATGCCTTCTTCCTAGTTATAAATAAAACCACTATGGTTTCTTTCCCATAAAAAAAAAAAAAAAAAACCGGTAGTGGGTGAACAAGAAAATGTACCCAAAGAAAAAGAAGAGAAGTTAATTTATTGACCAAAAATATGAAGAAAAAAATGAGTATTATTTAAAAATCGTGGTGTAAATTAAAAAAATAATATCTACTTTTGGAGGAATAAGGAAACAAACAGAGATAATTTTGAATTAAAAAGGAGATAATGTTGTTGACTAAACTAATTACCAATAATTCATAACTAATATCCCGGCAAAGGAAACAAAAATAAAACCTATAACTAAAAGGACAAATTTGAAAATAAATATAGACCTTTTTTATTGACACCCCACAATGTTATGAATACACCTCATTTTCTTTTATTTAGTTTGAATTTCCTTTTCTATCCTAATTTAAATTAAGATAAAAACAAACAAACAAAACCAGCACCACCTTCATCATCCTAAAGCCTACTCCTTTTCGACAACTCCCCACCATGGCACCTCCATTAACAAAATGATCTCAAGTATATCAAAACATATGCTGACTTACAATTAAACTAGCCAATAGTCTCATAGAAAGTCAATTCCTAGTTGACACATAAGGATTGCTTCTCTGCAAGTAGCATTTTTCAAAATTTTCACGGCCATCAAGTTGGTATCCCTAATTAGACTAATATTGACATTATAAAATTCAATTTTATGGTATTTCATATCCTACAAAATATTAGCGGAAGTGAGAATTCTAGAGAGGAAAGAACGGTAGGAAAGGGGGTGGTTATCATTGGCTAACACTGACGGAAAGATAGCAGAAGGGTGAGCGGTTCAGATAGGATGTTAGAAGGTTTTAATTTCTTAACTATTATAAAAAGGTGGTCTTTAACAATGAAAGGGCTAATATTGAAAATTTAAAGAATAAATTTGAAGTTGGGATGTATTCATAAAATTATGGGATGTTAATGAAAACACCCTAAATATATGGCATTTTGGTTTTAAAAAACAAAAGTTCCAGGATAAATAAAATAAAAACAAATATGTTGACATGGCCCTTAGTCAAAGCCCCTTGATTAAAGTTTGAAAAGGAACAAATGTTTAATAAAAAGAAGGTAAAAGATGAGTGAGGGATTTTACTCATCTCTTATTTTATATTGGTAAGTAGAAGTTTTTAAGTTTGGCTCTCACAATAGAGTGTTTGATATCAATCAGTTTATTGTGAGGAAGTTTTTTAATTTTTTATTTTATCTTTTTTATATAGGAGGACCACTGGTGATAAGTCACGGTTATCCATCCTTTTCAGGGGTCAGAAAGACTCACAGAGGCATTTCCTGGCCACAAGTCTAGCTTCTACACCAGTAACGAGTTTCGAACCCGAGACCTCCAGTTTTTAGTTTTAAGGAAGCCTTGTAATCTGTCTTATGTTACCCACGAACAAGTAGTTCACAAATAACGAGTTTGATACTAAATTTCACTTTTTGTCTCTTAATTTTCAAGTGTGGCAAATTTTGTTCGTATAGTAGGTAAACTAGATTTTGGTGGGTAATGCGGGTTAACTCAATTTTCTAATTACTATATGAATTTTCTAGGTTTACATACAACTACATTGATATTAGTAAAAGGTGTTTTAGATGCACGTGGTTCCAAGTTGGAATAAGTTCGGTAGCAGATCATGAAATCATGGTGATCTTCTCTATCTAATGAATAGGATGTCTGCTTTAAAATTGTTCGTCCTGCACCCACCCCTCGAGTATATGCTTCAACAGGAATCATACAAGGTAGATTGATACAACAAAAATCTTTGGTAAACTGCCAACCCGTAATCCAGCAGATAAAGTACATTACATAATTCGTTTTAGGGATTGACGACTTACCTCATTCAGTGACTTTGGCACTTGACATTTTTGAATGGATACTATCGTGGATTCATTAGAATTGTATATCATTAATATTCTTTTCTATCGTGGATCCATTTATATATACACTTTATATTGCTTTACAACTCATAATATATTGCTTTACAACCCATAATCAATTTTTTAATTTTTTATGCAAAAAAATTTCAATTGCTACAATGATATGACTATCATATCTTAATTAGCTTCCTTGCTGTGCTTATCAAAGAGGTAATAGCATTTGGGGTGACAATAAATTATTATTTTTCGTTAATTAATTATTTTAGTATTTAATATTCAGATTAAATTATTATTTTTTAAATGCATATAAATTTTTTTTTTTTTACCACGTGACACAAATTTGGCAGTCACTTCAGCACAAATGTGGATCCCATATTTGCCACATCATCACTTAATGGATTTTTTAACTTATGTATGAAATTAAAATAAAATGATAAGTATATGTATGAAATTGAAATGTTTTAAAAATGTTGTATAAGGTTGTAATTGATCCCAAACATGAAGAGGTAAAATGTAATATACCTTAAATTATTTGAGCTTGTGTGTATGTGTACACACACGCACGCACACATATATATATATGTGTGCGCGCGCGCGTGTGTGTTTGTCTATATACATCTATATATATATATATATATATATGTATGTATGTATTCCCCAGCAGTGGATTAATGTCGGTCACAGATTAACAGAGAGAAAATGGCCATGACCAATGTCCAAGAAATGTCTATGAATGGTGAGCAGCCACCTGCTGAATATATTGTTAAAGAAAGTAGGTTTGGATCCATAGATTCTTCTCCACCATTGGCTGATGAAATCCCCATCATTGATATCAGTCTCTTCTCCCCATCATCTCCTCAATATTCTGAACAAGCAGAAAATCATGAGCTACAGAAACTCAGATCAGCACTCAGCTCGGCAGGATGCTTCCAGGTCTCCATTTTCTTTTTCTTGGTACTATTATATATGTTAAAGTATATTTTGTTGTCTCTGTATTCTCTATGTTACCATGTTAGACATGTAAATGAATTGGACTGGACTACATCTTATCCAATCTAATCCAATTCAATCCAAAGAAGAACATAATTTGATCCGATCTGATAATCTGATGTTTTTCGTTGATGAAATTCGACGGATTATGGATAAACAAGTTCATATCTGATTAACTGAACTAATGGAATTCAATATTTATATTCATGATGGATTAATGAATTCAGGCAACAGGCCATGGGATTTCGGATTCACTTCTTGACAAAGTACGTGAAGCAGCAAAACAATTCTTTGCACTTCCGGTGGAAGAGAAGGAGAAATACTCCCGAACTATTGACGGCGGCTTCGAGGGATACGGTAATGATGTCATAGTCTCCGACAAACAAGTTCTCGACTGGTCCTATCGTCTTACCCTTAGGGTCTTTCCGCAAGATCAAAGAAAGCTTCATCTTTGGCCACAAATTCCAAATGATTTTGGGTACGTACCTATATTTTGGGTACTTTAATTAATACTATTCGCTTTTACAAACGTTAATGTCTAGTCTTTTGAGCCGGCCCCCTTGATCAGGAGTCTATCTTCTCCACCATCATTGAACTGTCACAGTTTTGTTGCTTAATTTTAGTTTATAAACATAACTCAAGAGTTAAGACCTCAAATGTTAGCCGTAGGGTTATTTCATCCGAAAAAATAGAATTCACGAATTAACGTTTGGGTAAGAGATTTGTGTATATGTATATAACATATTTAGTAAAGAATCATCACTATATAACGTGTATAATTTGTAGAGAGATGTTACATGAATATGCAACGAAGATAAAGTTGATGATGGGGTTAGTGTTTAAGGCAATGGCAAAGTCATTGAACTTGGAAGAGAAGAGCTTTGCAACGCAGCTGCTTGGAGATCAATCCCTGATGCAAGCAAGGTTCAACTTTTATCCACCGTGCTCGAGATCTGACCTGGTCCTCGGCGTCAAGCCTCACACGGATAGGTCCGGCGTGACATGTCTCTTGCAAGACAAGGATGTGGAAGGCCTTCAAGTTTTGATAGATGGAAAATGGGTTAGAGTCCCCATTGTTCCTCATGCTATTGTTCTTAATCTTGGTGATCAGATGCAGATCATGAGCAATGGGATTTACAAGAGCCCCATGCACAGGGTGGTGACAAATGGAGAGAGCATGAGGCTATCAGTTGCTTTGTTCAATGAGCCGGATCCCGAAACGGAAATTGGTCCGGTCGAGGACTTGATCGACGAGACAAGGCCGAGGTTGTACAAAAATGTCAAGAACTATGGTCGTATCAACTACGAATGCTATCAGAGAGGGGAAATCGCACTCGAAACCGTCAAAATCTAAGTATGTGCTTACTCTTCGAAACAACAATTCTTCTATGAACGTGACATCAGATATCAATAACATTGATAGTGATTTTAATAATAGTAAAATGTAGCAACATGTTATCAATACATTATCTTGTATTATTAATTTATTATTGTTATCATCATCAATGTATTTTCTTCTTAAATTAAGGTTAACAATAATAATGATGATAATTACGGATTCGTTAGGGGTTGATGTACCTCATCACTTTTTGTTTGATATATTACAATGAAAGAAATCGAGATCCTATCCGGATCTCTAAGTCTAAAGCTTAAGGATTTAGAGATCCAGGCCATTGAAGAGAGAATGAAGATCTGAACCTTTGGTTTATTTGAGGTGGATCATTGGAATAGATTAAAGAATAGACTAATAAAAGCCACATAATTTAAAATAAGTGGTTCAGATGTCCAAGTCTTTAAGCTTCGTATACAAAGATCCAAAGAGGACCTCAATTCCAATTAAAGGGATGACAACAACTTTATTTTTAAGCAGTTGGAGTGTTGCTGTGAACGAGTCTTCAGATGGCAAAAATCCAATTTCAGTGTCTGTGTGGGCTCACAAATGGGTTCCACGTAACTTACCAAAATTCCAATTGATCATCGCTGATGATCTCAACATTTTGGAATCGTATTAAAAAGACAATATTAAGTTGTGTTTATTTATATTCTTTGGATTGAATAAGCATCAGTATAGGTGTACAAAAATAATTTTCCGAGTCGAGATTTCCGTTGTTTTAAATATTGAGACGCCACCAGGACAGTCAAATATATCATCTACATTTCTAAACCTTCATAATTTTATATGCAAAGAGTTGAATACATCATTTGAATATTTAGTCAAATATATCACCTACATTTCTAAACCAGCATAATTTTATATGCAAAAAGTTGAATACGTCGACCATTATCTGGAGATGATAAATACTTAAACAGGATAAAGCTCTTTCTTTTGTTTTCTTCCAAATTGATGTGCTTTCAAAGAAGTGAAAGCCATGAACGCGGATCTTTAAGTTGCAGCTCAAATTACAAAACCTTGCTAAGATGGAGTTATTAGGATCTAAAACTGTCCAAGAGGTACTCATCCAAGGGGAATAGGTGCCACATAAATATATCCGTAAAGTTGAAGATGGCAAAAATCCAATTTCAGTGTCTTCGTGGGGTGACAAATGGGTTCCACGTAACTCAACAAAATTCCAAATTGATCATCATTGATGATCTCATCAATTTTGGAATCGTATTAAAAAGACAAAGAGTTCTGCAACCTTTTCTCATCTTGTTTAATCTGTTTTAGTGAAAGTTAATCATCATAAAATGCCACTTTAGCTTGTATTGTTTTGAAAGGGATCAGCACTGGTAGAGAATTACCTATAACTATTACCCCCGTAACCTTATCGTGTGTTATTGACACAAGATATCACAGTGATATTAAAAAGTGTAGATAAATTTTCCGCATCCCCATTTTGGGGTCTGATACCTGTATTTACAAATGCAATAGATTTTTATACACCTATTTTCTGTCTCTATTAACTTCGATTTATTTATTTTCTTCCGATTGAATGAGCACAAGCACAGGTGTATAAAATCATCTCCCTCTAGAGAACTCGAGATTTCCATTGTTTTGAATATCTAGACGCCACCAAACAGTCAAATATATCACCTACATTTCTGGAAAGGGATCCTCATTATCCCTTCCATCAAATCTATCAAGGCCATAAATTTGGGCATTTGAAATTTGATCAAACGGTTAAAGTTATTATAACTTTTAAAGTGAACTCCTGTTTGTAGTCATTTGATCAAATTTCAAAAGCCTAGCTTTGTGACCTTGGTGGATTTGGTGGAAAATATCCAGAGAGGATCCATTTCTTACATTTCTAAACTTGCATAATTTTATAGGGAAACTAATGAAAATGACTTGAAAACTTTGAGTTTTAATAATAAAGACAAAATAAAAGGTAAAGTAAATATTATCAGGTTTGATTTTTTAATGTAAAAATACGATTTTTCGTTAAAATAAACATTAAATTTTTTGTTAAAACTTCCTAATTTTATATGCAAAGAGTTGATACATTGACCATTACCTTGAGATGATAAATATTTAAATAGATTAAGACTCTTTTAGCATCTTTCTTTTGTTTTCTTCCAAGTTCATGCCACAATTAAATACTTTTTATATTTTTAAAGGTAAAGTAATCTCGTTTTGGGTAAAAGTATTTAATTGTGACAGCACGATCTTTGATGAACTGTCCTTGTTCCTTGATTATCGGGATCCAAGGAGGGGATCCAAATCCCCTTTCAAAGAAGTGAAAGCACCGAAAGCAGATCTTTAATTCGCAGCTCAAATTACAAAAGCTTGCGAAGATGGAGTTATTAGGATCGAAAACTGTCCAGGAGGTGCTCATCCAAGGGGAACAGGTGCCAGAGAAATATATCCATAAAGTTGAAGATGGTGGAGTCCCAGTCCCGGATGCTTCTGCTGCCCAATTGATGGATGTTCCAGTTATTGATCTTGCTCTCCTCGCAGCTTCTTCAATCTCTGCCGATGAACTTGAGAAGCTCAGATCAGCTCTTGCCACATGGGGTTGCTTCCAGGTCTCAACTATTCAAACAACTTGTGCTTTGAAACAATTTAAATCTCGTTTGATACCATTTCGTTTATACGATTATAGCAAATCATTTTGGTGTTTGTACCATGTGTCGTTCCTATCTCGTTCGAGTTTGAGAGGGGCACTTTTTGCCTTGCAACTACTGAAGAGCTAATCTCACATAATCCTCGATCTGATAAAAAGAAAAATCATGTTATGTTTAGAGGTTGCTTTAATTAGTTTGGTGTTTCAAACAAATTCTGCATTAAAAATAATTTAAAGAGTATGTTTATTGTCAATCATGCTAATTAATTTGGTGTTCCAGGTAATAAACCACGGTATGTCGCCGGAATTCCTAGACGAGTTCCGAGAGATTACAAAACAGTTTTTTGCACTTCCAGTGGAAGATAAGAAGAAGTATTTGAGACAAGTCAACGACATTCAAGGATATGGAAACGACATGGTTTTTTCAGAGCAACAAACACTGGATTGGAGTGATAGACTATACCTTTCTGTGTATCCACAAGACAACCGTAAGCTCAACTTGTGGCCTGAAAACCCCAAATCTTTTAGGTAATCAACTTGTCTCTGTTGTGCAGACGTGTGTTACGCAGTTGGCCAGGGCAGTGCGTCCACCACCTAAGACTCAAGTTCAAATTCCTCTCTCCGTAGATTAAAGTAGTTTAAAATACCGTCTTTGGCACAAATCATGTTAATGTTATTGAACATTATTGCAGGCAGACTTTAGACCAATATACCATGGACTTGCAAGTGGTAACAAAAACTGTCCTCAAGGCCATGGCAAGGTCATTGGATTTGGAGGACAATTGCTTTTCCGACCTGTATGGGGGAGAACAAGGGAAAATGGACATCAGATTTAACTTTTATCCTCCATGTCCAAGGCCTGATCTCGTCCTTGGTGTCAAACCACACGCAGACGGAACCCTAATCACTCTTCTCTTGCAAGACAAGGAAGTTGAAGGTCTTCAATTTCTCAAAGGTGATGAGTGGTTTCGGGCTCCCATTGTTCCTGATGCGCTTCTCATCAACGTTGGTGATCAAGTAGAGGTAAATCAAAGTGTTCTCAACATTATGTATTTTGTGGCAAGAAATTTTGGGCGTAACAGTCACCATAAGACGTGGTGTTACTATTCTACGTGTGGTTACATAAGTTGTTGTTTGTGATGCCACAGATACTGAGCAATGGAATATTCAAGAGCCCTGTACACAAGGTGGTGACAAATTCCGACAAGGAGAGGATATCGGTGGCGGCCTTCTGCATACCAGAGTCGGATAAAGAGATTGAACCTTTTGAAAGGTTGGTCGACGAGTCAAGGCCAAGATTGTACAAGAAGGTGAAAAATTATGTTGGCATCTATTTCGAATACTATCAGCAAGGGAGGAGACCAATGGAAGCAGCAAAAATGTAATGTGTAACGTTACTCCCACGAATAAAACTTATAGTTGTCAACATGTTTTGTCGAGTGCTTTTCGCAATCTCATTTTATGGCCAGACACTCCTCTCATAGCATGTGGAACGATTGAATAAATGAAGAGAAGATTCAATGGCAGACATAGGCAGAGCCACTAAGGGATCAGAGTGGTTCTGAGCCCATTCTGATCATTGTTGAAGAAATTTTTAGCGACCTCAAGTTTGCAATTATAGAACCGTGAGAAATGGGGAAGAAGATGAATTCTTCTTTTGAAGAAGTTGAGTCGAACGATGTTATGTCTCATATTTTTTTAACTGTTTTGTTTGTTTTGTCTTTATGATTAAGTGAAACTCAAGGATGGATTTTAAAATCGATTTTAATATTATTTCTAAAGCAACGTAATCAACTATCATTTGCAGTCCTCCTCTTTTCCCTCTTTCTTTACTTTTTCTGTCAAACGACTAACACCAAATTTCTTTGTATTATCTTCATTACGGGTTACCATGCTATCTACCTCCCACTTAGTTGTATTATACACTTCTTTTGATTTTTTTTCTCTCTTAAATTTAATGGGTATTTCGGTTTTGTGAAGATTACTTCAATTGCTCTTGTTATGAGCTCGAAATTTTTTTTCTCAATACATATATGAAAGATCCTTTCTTACAAAGAATTCTAGCTCCACCACTGATGGCAGAACTAAAAGAAAAAGTGCATAAGGAGAAAACGAGAGAGGAAATCACTACATCTATCCAATCGCATTTTGTCGTATGGGATTACACAAGTTATGTGCTTACCTTTCGAAACAACTATTCTTCTATGAACATGACATTAGATATCAATAATATTGATAGTGAACATGATACTAGTAAAAGGTAGCAACGTGTTATTAATACATTATCAAGAAGACGGCCGTTTTATGCTAGTATTATATATGACTGTTAACATCATCAATGTATTTTCTTCTTACACTAAGGTTAATAATAATAATAATAATGATAATAATTAAGGATTTCGTAGGAGTTGAATCTAGTTCATTTTGTTTGACATATACAATGAAATTGATTGAAAAGGCAGCCATCTTGTTCTATCAAACTTCAGTGAGAGACCTTCTCTCCTTCTGTGAGAGTTTCTTCCCCCCCTTTTAGTGAGGCCTTCATCTTGTCCACCTTCTCAAGCGTCAACTCTTGCTTTGGCTGGAATCGGTTGCCACTTTTCCCTTTTTTTCTTCTATTTTCTTCTCTTTTCCCCTTCTCTGTCATGTCCTCTTTCTTCTGTTCTTCTTCTTCTTTTCTTTTCGCTTCTCTAGATGCTTTTCCTTTTTTTCTTGTCTGACATGTAATGTTCTTCATCTCCCATCGGTATACCTCTCCCCATCTCTTCCTTAGTCCGATCTTCAGCCATAGTTCCTTTTGAGTTCATGTGTAGAGCTGGGGTGTTTTTTTTGGCTTGGGTGTTTCCCACACCACCAGGTTCTCCTTGCTGTTTACCGTTTTCGGCAGTGTTGCTTGTGGGTTTCCACGAGTTTCTTACTGGTAATTGGCTAATCCTTTTTTGGTGCCAACTATCTCCTGTTAATGATTGTGAATTGGTTGCTGTTCGAGGTTGGCGGTGGTGCCTGAGGCGACAATACTCGATGGTTGCTGACGTTTCCAGAGGCTGGCTTGGATTTCTATCGGTGGAGGAGACTTCTGTAGAAGCTTCTCGATTAGTTGTTGAGTGTTTTTTTTTTTGGGCTTCACTGTTGTGAGGTCTTTTTCTGTTTTCTGTTGGTTTTAGCCCTTTTTTGGTTGTGTATATTTGTAAGTTGGGTCTTTGGTTTGCTTGTAATTTTGAGCTTGTTGTTTAATAAAAGTTGAGTGAGTTTTGATTGTAGTTTTGCTACGGTCAAACTTTTTCCAAAAAAAAGAAAAAAATGCAATGAAATTGAAAGGGATGATAGAAACTTTACTTCTGAGTAGTTGGAGAGTTGCTGCCTATTCAAATTGGCAAGGCAATAACTGCCAAAAGATGGAAAAAATCACCAGCCCGTTACGCAAAGTAGGGCAACTGAGTGGGTAATAATTCCAATTGATCATCATTCATGATCTCATCAATTTTGGAAGAGAAATGCTAAGGATTGTCTGGAAGTGGAAAATTTAATAGACTATCTTTCTCCTTATGTTTTTGGCATAATATTTTATAGTATTGGCATAACAATTGACGTGAAATTATGAGGTATCCGAAAGTTCATGAAGAATCACTGACAGTTTAAGGTTAACTTTCGTGTCAATATTATAAACTTTGTACTAAAAATATAAGGTGGATAGAGGATTCAATAAAAAATCTCAGTTTGAGCATTTCCAGCAGCACTCTCTACTTTGTATAAGGCATGATGCCTTCTGTTTCAAAGACGAGAGAGCAACCGATTAGGAAAAGAATCGAGAGAGGTAAGGAAGCAGCAGCCCTGATCTTTTGATCCTTCTGAGCAAATTCGATATTAGTGTTACTTTTGTGGATTTTGAAAGAGGAGATTTGGTATGTAATTTCATCTTCTTCATACTTTGTTTGAGGGAGAGTTATTGAGTGTATGTAAGTTTTGGGTTTGAAAGTTAAACTCTATGTAATCTTCATTATTTTATTAGTATAATTTTCTCGCCACCTTTCAATAGACGCGTATACCCAACCATTATAAGTCGTTGTATGTTTTTAAATTATTTGTTTTATCATTTTTTTTAATGTTAGTTTATTAATCCTTTCATATTTCGCGCTTTCGCACAACATTCATAGCATTCAAAACATATTAGAGACGATAAATATTTAAATAGGATGACTCCTTTAGCCTCTTTCTTTTGCTTTCCTTCCAAGTTGATGTGCTTTCAAAGAAGTGAAAGCAACGAACGCAGATCTTTAATTTGCAGCTCAAATTACAGAAGCTTGCCAAGATGGAGTTGTTCGGATGCAAAACTGTCCAGGAGGTGCTCATCCAAGAGGAACAGGTGCTAGAGAAATATATCCATAAAGTTGAAGATGGTGGAGTCCCAGTCCCGGATGCTTCTCCTCCCCAGTTGCTGGATGTCCCAGTTATTGATCTAATCTCCTCGCAGCTTCTTCAATTACTGCAGATGAATTTGAGAAATTCAGATCAGCTCTTGACACATTGGGTTGCTTCCAGGTCTCAACTATTCAAACTTCTTGTACTTCGAAACAATTTAGGTCTCGTTCGATGACCGTTTTGTTTATATGATTATTGCAAATCATGCTGGTGTTTGTAAACCATGTGTCAGTATCGGTCATCTCTCGTTCTAGTTTGAGAGCAACCGCTACTGAAGAGCTAATCTCACCTAATCTTCTACTTGATAAAAAGAAAAGTCATGTTGTGTTTGGAGGTTGCTTTAATTAATTTGGTGTTCCAGGTAATAAACCACGGCATGTCGCCGGAATTCTTAGACGAGGTCCGAGAGATTACGAAACAGTTTTTTGCACTACCAGTTGAAGATAAGAAGTACTTAGAGACAAGGCAACGACATTCAAGGATATGGAAACGACGTGGTTCATACAGAGCAACAAAAACTGGATTGGACTGATAGACTATACCTTACTGTGTTTCCACAAGGCAACCGTAAGCTTAACTTTTGGCCTGAAAATCCCGAATCTTTTAGGTAATCAACTTGTCGTTGTTTTGCAGACGTGTGTTATGCCAGTCCGCTGTAACGTCTTTGACACAAATCATGCTGCAGGCGGACTTTAGACCAATTTTCCATGGAGTTACATGTGATAACAAAAACTGTCCTCAAGGCCATGACAAGGTCATTGGGTTTGGAGGACAACTGCTTTTCCGACCTGTATGGTGAAGAAGGGAACATGAATATCAGATTCAACTTTTATCCTCCATGTCCGAGGCCTGATCTCGTCCTCGGTCTCAAACCACACTCAGACTCATCCCTAATCACCCATGTCATGCAGACAAGGACGTCGAAGGTCTTCAATTTCTCAAAGGCGATGAGTGGTTTCGAGCTCCCATTGTTCCTGACGCGCTTCTCATCATAGTTGGCGACCAAGTAGAGGTAAATCAAAAACGTTCTCGACACTATGAGTTGACGTGATGTTACTAAATTACGCGTGGTTTACGTCAGTTGTTGATTGTGACACTGTAGATATTGAGCAACGGAGTATTCAAGAGCGTTGTACACAAGGTGGTGATACATCCAGACAAGGAGAGGATATCGGTGGTGGCACTCTGCTATCCGGAGTCGTTTAAACATATTGAACCTTTTGAAAGGTTGGTGGATGAGTCGAGGCCAAGATTGTACAGAAAGATGAAAAATTACAGGGACATCATTATGGAAAACTATCAGAAAGGGAGGAGAGCAATTGAAGAAGCAAAAATACATGTGTAACATTATGTGACGTCACACACACTCCCCCGCGCATAAAACTTATAGTTGTCGAGGTGTTTCTTCTAGCGTAATAAAACCCGCAAGTTTGGCTTGAACTCTCTCGAACCAAAAACTCATAAGATGTTGTAAATTTGAGTGGCTGAAGCTTGAAGTTGAAACTTAATTACCTATTGTCTCTGCAACTTATGTTGCAAAGAAATTGTATGTAAATTATGATGATATATTGATATGCATAGCTCCTTAACTAAGTTTTATTTCAACGTTTCTACAATTTACCTTTTTTATTTTTATTTTCAAAGGAGAGGATATCGGTGGTGGCCTTCTGCATACTAGAGTCGGATAAAGAGATTGAACCTTTTGAAAGGTTGGTAGACGAGTCAAGGCCAAGATTGTACAAGAAGGTGAAAAATTATGTTGGCATCTATTTCGAATACTATCAGCAAGGGAGGAGACCAATGGAAGCAGCAATTATACAATGTGTAACGTTACTCACACGTATAAAACTTATAGTTGTCGACATGTTTTGTCTAGTGCTTTTTCCAAACTCATTTTCTGGCCAGACACTCCTCTCATAGCATGTGGAAAGATTGAATAAATGAAGAGAAGATTCAATGGCAGACATAGGCAGGGCCACTGAGGGATCAAAGTAGTTCTGCGCCCATTCTAATCATTGTGCAAAAAAAATTTAGTGGCCTCAAGTTGGCAGTTGTAGAATCGTAAGAAATGAGAAAGAAGAAGAATTCCTCTTTTGAAGAAGTTTATCGAACGATGTCGTGTCTTATATTTTTCTAACAGTTTTGTTTGTCTTGTCTTTGTGATTCAGTGAAACTTAAGGATGGGTTTTAAAATCGACTTTAATGTTATTTCTAAAGCAACCTAATCAACTATTATTTGCAATCCTCCTTTTTGCCCTCCTTTTTTCTGTCAAACGATTCACACCAAATTTCTTTGTATTTTCTTCATATAATTCAAAATTTTTATGGGTCACCTTGCTATTTACCTCCGACTTAGTTGTATTATACACTTCTTTTGATTTTTTATCTTA